TGAGCGCAGCCTGAAGAGCAGACCAGAGGCTCCTCTGGTGGCAGCAGGACTGCACAGACCGCTCATAAGAATGTCCATCAAATTATCACCTGCTAGTCTGGGGAGAGGACGTTGTTTTACACTGCGTGTGGTGTCTAGAGCAGGAGACGCTGTATTTGTGCAGTTTCTGACGTTTAATCACAAAATATTCTATTAGTATGCCTCTAGACGTTAACATCACTGTAATATGGACAGTACAATTTCCACAATAAAAGTAATTTGCATATGGTGTACAGCGAAATGAACATGCTTCATGGGGAGTGAGGTAACATGTACAATGGAACCACTTTAAATTGGCCTCTTGGCTTTTCCTGTTCTTGCCAAACTCTAATCCCAAATCACGTCAGACTCCCAGAGTTAGGAGGTTGACTGGAAAGATACAAGTTTTAAAACTAAAGCCATTCTCTATTACTTTTACTGGCCATGTGGTTTTGAACCTTCATGGTGCACTTGACTCATGTTTTTAGACTTTTTACTGTGATTGTGAGGACTGTAGTTCTGTTTAGGAAAGTGTCTGTGTCTTGCATCATTCCAGGAGCGAGCTGGATGTAAATTAGTATGACAAAACTTTTGTTAAGGCTCTTGGTCTCTCTTATCTTTAAGAGAGGAAGGAGCTGAAAGTACCTTTTAAGCTGCTTTAAGAAATGACAGTAGTGTGAATTTCTGAGCTTCTGTAAGCATTTGATGGGGACTGATGCCCACTGGAAGGAAGATTCTTCCCTTCTTCACAGAATTCAGTTTTCAAGCATCTCTATCCCTCTTAATTTCTGTTGGGCTTTGCCCTGTAAGTATGTCTGCTCAGTACTGAGCGTGGCAAGTTGAGGTTCATGGTTAACCCTTCTGATGCACGTGGAGGGGCGTTGCAGCGGCGCTGGGAAGCTGGCTTTGGGAACAGCTGCACCTTCGTTCAAGAGAGTTGAATTGGTTTTTGTGGAACTTTTGTAATCATGCTCTCAGGGACAAATGCTGTACCTGTGAGCTTTTCAGCACTACAGATTAATATACTAAAGATCAGTCTGTAAAGTGAACTGTTGTCTTCTCTGCCTTACACGTGGCCATGCAGCTGCCTGCAGTGTGAGTGACTGGCAGCAGCCACAGCGCAATGCCCTTTTGTGAAGGTGTAAATTATATAAATGGAGTATTTCTGGCTTTGCGTACTGTATTGTTAGTGGAAGCAGAGGTTCTACCTAGTATCAACATATGCCAGTCTAGAAGATGTATTTCCACCACTAAGAGGAGGTATCTTGGATGGAGAGAACTTAATGCGTTTAAGCCCATTTGGGTGATGCCAGGTGTGAATCTGGAGCGGACAGTGGCAAGAACTGGTCTGTACATAAAGCAGACAGTTCAGGAAGGGGGACTGTTCAAGGTGCCCAGTGTTTTGAAACAATCTGCAACAGGAGAGTGGAATTTTACCCTTCTCTGTTATATATAGCATCTGTAGTGTATGCTGTGTGTGAATTCCACATGTTTTGTATGACTTTCTCTGTAGGACAGCATATATTATGTGGGACTTCCAGAGGCAGTGCTGAAGACAAAGTCAGGACTTTGCTAGCTTTGTGGGTTTGCATTGCTGGCATAAACTAAACTGGCTCGGCGCATTTTCAGGGCACTATTACTTTCCTACATGTATTAACATTCATTAGAATGTTTGCCTTGATGTGGTTTGCCTGGAAGGTTTGTGTTTTGGTCTTCCAGTTAATCACTGTGGTTACAGTTGAAATACCATTGTCTTTTCACTACCTCAGACCATTAAACACTAGAACAATAGTTCTTTTGCAATAGGAATTACTGCTATGTAGTTCTGTCCTGAAGGAAGGAAAACTAAACCAAGTATCTGCTGAAATCCAATACTAAAGGCAACATGGCAAAAGAGCCAACCAGTTCTCTTTGAGGTACACTGCAGGTAGAAGAAAGATGGCCCTATGGGCCTGCACTGAAACTCAGGAGAACACGTTTGCTTGTCTTTCCCAGTTCTGTGATAAACTTCTTGTTTGATCTTTGATAAATAACTTAGAACCCATTTCTTGTGTTGAAATCATCAGGGATTAGGTACTTGAGTAGCTTGGCCTCCTTTCCTCCTTTTACCACATGGAAGTGGGCCATTATGATTGTAGTGAAGCTGTTCAGAGGACCTGCTTTACCTGCTTTTAAAAAATAACATTTTATTTATATCTTTGTCTTTGAAATTGCTCAGAAAAAAAGGTGTATCTCTCCATATTTTTTTTCAGGGTTTGGTTTATCAACATGAAAGAGCAATTCTTGGCTGGGTTTGAAAAATCCTAGGATCCTTAAAAAATATTCTGCAGTGGTCAACATCTGCTTTGAGAGTTACTTTCCAGCACTGTTAGAGTGCAAGTCCTGTCATTTGGAATATACTGATGGCCTTATGTTTTACAGGGCATTTGGATGGAAGACAGGAGCCTCAGCAAAAAGGTGAGGAACATAGAAAATATAGGAAAATATTATGAACTGAAGGAAAATCCCTGATGTGTGCTGTATTTGGTTTGCATTGCAAGGGTTTAGTAGTGGGGGAGCTACAGGGGTGGCTTCTGTGAGAAGCTGCTAGAACCTTCCCCATGTCTGATAGAGCCAGCTGGCTCTAAGACTGACCCGCAGCTGACCAAGGCCAAGCCCATCAGTGATGGTGACAGCACCTCTGGGACAACATATTTAAGAATTGGGAGAAAAACTGGAACAGCAACCACAGCCAGAGAGGAGTGAGAATATGTGAGAGAAATAACTGCAGACACCAAGGTCATTGAGGAAGGAAAGCGAGGAGGTGCTCCAGATGCCAGAGCAGAGATTCCCCTGTAGCCCATGGTGAAGACCATGGTGAGGCAGGCTGTCCGTCTGCAGCCCATGGAAATTAACAGTGGAGCAGATATACAGCTGCAGCCCTTGGAGGAGCTCATGCCAGAGCAGGTGGATGCCTGAAGGAGGCTGTGACCCCAGGGTACTCAGGCTCCTGGCAAGACCTGTGGTATGTGGAGAGAGGAGCCCACCCTGGAGCAGGTTTGCTGGCAGGACTTGTGACCCTGTGGGGGAGCCACACTGAACCAATCTGTTCCTGAAGGATTGCACCCCCTGGAAGGGATCCCCCCTCAAGCAGTTTTTGAAAAAACACAGCCTGTCAGAAGGACCCACATTGAAGAAGTTTTTGAAGGACTGTCTCCTGTGGAGGGTCCCCATGCTGGAGCAGAGGAAAAGTGTGAAGAGTCCTCCCTTTGAGGAGGAAAGAGGTAGAGGTAATGTGTAATGTACTGACCAAAACCCCCATTTCACATTCCCCTGCATTGCTGGGAAGGAGGAGGCTACCACATTTTCAAATTATTTTTGAATTGTTTTTCTTTCTAATGAATCAAAGAGATGGAACAGTTTCAGCCATATCCTGTTTGGAGGGGGTAACAATTACCTACACTGATGATACATTTGCTTTGTGTATCTTTGAGAGCCTTAGTTTACTGTCCTCGCGTGTACGTGATCAGTTGGGACATTACCTTTTGAAGCTGTAGAGTAAGAAGTACTTCTGCTTAAATGAAGATACTGTCCAATTGGTTTCCAAAGCTGTCCTTTAGAAACTCTCCTGTATTCTTCATGTGCCCTAATAAATGCATTAGTCATCTCTGTTTTAAGAACCGAAAGTATGATTGTTTCTGAGATGTGTAAAGGTGGAATAGAATTAAGTATCCTCTCCTAATGGAAAGTAAGCTTTCTAACTCCTGTCACATCATTTTCCTTATATCCTATTGGTAGCCTCTGAGCCCTTTGAATACTTGCACTGGAAAGTGCTGGAACACTGTGTCCTGACTGGCCTTCTGAAGATTTCACACATGAATAAAGTAATCAGGGATTTACATTTCTGCCATGGTTCTTTGCTAGTACCTCATCCTGTAAAGGAAATTCCAGTGAGTAATGACTAGCTGGAAGCATGGTTCTATTTGAGCCATGTACTCCGTGTACGATCCTGTCAGTCCCCTGAGCTCTGGTGATTTGCTTGAGGGGAGAAGGGAGTCTGATCTCTTAATGGGACAGCTTAAAAGACGGCAATGAAAAAATTCAATTAAAAATACAGTGGCATTTTGCTCCCTCTTCAGGTCTTCTCTGGGAAACAATCTGTCCCCAAATTAATAATCCCTCATTTAATTAAGCAGTTGAAAAAAATAACAAGTGTCCATTGTGCTTCTCTAATCCCCACTTGGCTGCAGCTCTGTAACGTATTCGTTGAACCAATATTAGCTATGATCCTGAATTCTGGGCAGCAGCAATATTAATCTGTCAGCACAAGAAAATAGCAATTTAAGTTTATTTTTTTGCATTCTCTTTGCAAAGCCAGTTGCTAATCCACTGAAGTTTCCTTTTCTGCTTCTTATTTTCAAAAGGCTTTACAAAAATTATTGAAGATGCTTAAATAAATTGCTTTGGAGGACTCTTTTTTTTGGTTGGTTTTTGTTCACACTTTTCAGGAATCCTAAACCGCTCAGTAAGTACAACATGGCAGCAGAGCTCTTCTGTCCCTATCCCTTGAACTTACCTATTTTTATAACTACCAACCTAATACCTGCTGTTAATCCTTTGCTACTATATTAACCACTTGCAGTTACCTGGGGGTAACTCCCCATAACAGATTACATGTTTACTGTAGTTTATATACTTCATGCTAAAGCTCCTTCAGAGCCCTGCAGGGAATGCCAACTCCCATTCTTCCTCTACCAGCCTGTGCTGCAGTTTACAGGCTCTTTGGCCTTTCTTCTCTTAAACATTGCTGTCTTAGATAATGAGTAAAAAAGGAGAGAGAAGAGTCTGAAATACCAGCCCCAGTAGGTCTGACATAGGAATATTTGCTTGGAGAGGTCATGCTCCAACCTTAGAGCATACAGGCTTTGGAAAGGTACTGTACACAGACAAAGGGACTTCGTAGCTCATAAGCATTGTGCCTGTCTCTCTGTACGCACAGTAGTGCTGACTTTATTGGTATTTGACTCCCTGCAGAGTAGCAGAGGGTCCTTTTGACATGGAAGCTTATTTCCTGTGAAGGTTTAAGCTAAGGGCCTTGTTTGGTCACTGACTATAATTCCCAGCTGTTGCTAGCAACCCTGCAATACCTGCTTTCATAAAATGGTCAGGTCTATTCTGAAGCAGCATGTTTTCTAATTCTCGCCTCCTCTATTGAAGAGACAATCCCCAACCTCTCTGCCGTGACCATTAAAAACCATTTTGTGATTTCCAGCCCAAGTTTATTCCCAGACTGTAGTGCTCCTTTGTGAACCCGTTTGGCATTTAGTGAACCATATTTTTTCCTAACCAGTGTTTATCTTATTATTATGTTTCTCAAGAAGTCGTATTTTCACAGCCTCTAGAACAAGATAAGCTCTTCAAGTTTTCTCTTCTCAAATAGGTTTCACATGTCCTGGACTATCCTAGCTGGTCTTCGCTTTACTGTTTCAATTTATGACTTCTTGAGGGAAGAACAGATAGTTTGTATAGAGATACTTTTAATTTGTTAATCTATTTTTAAAGGACCAAGGAATGTGTCAGTTAAATAAAAACCATGACATTTGTGTCTTTCACTTACATCTCTGAGGTCTTTTGTCTCCCCTCTTATGGAGTCATGACAACATTTATGAGTTGCTCTCTTAGAGAAGGAATGCTGCAGCTGCAGCAGTGCTGTTTGGCACTCAGGAGCCTCACAGGTAGGGAATCCATTCATGTGGTGCTGTCCTTCATGGCCCGTCCGCTGCTCTCCATGCAGGCTGACATGCTTCTTGATGCCAAGGGTCATGCAACAAAATTCTACTTTCCTCACTCCTTACCAGTGATAAGCCTGGCTTACTCAGAGTAGCTGGATTTTCCTGTACTGTATGTAAATCCAAATATCTGGGCTTGAAGTCTTCTTTGGAAAGGGAACATGCAGATTTTGGAAGGGATTCAAGTTCAGGCCTTGTTTGTTTATTGGCAGCCTTGTGTCCAGATAGTTAGCTTTCTGGTAGCATGTCTGAGACAGAGTGGCCTGCTCTTGGCTCGTGTCCCCGTTTCTGATCGGTGCTTTCTGTTACTTTATGCTGCTGACCTAGAGGAGACACTGTGTTTATTTGACTCAGCAGCATGTCTGAGTAGCTAGCTATAACAGTAGGGACTTTGCATAAAGGCAGAAGCGTCTCAACACTGGAGGAATACTGTTCTTGCAGAATTGACCCATGGGGACACCAACCTTGAAATAAATGTGCAGTGTGCCCTCCAAGAGTTCTCACTTGTGAGAGGCTAGGCAGAAATGTTTCTTATTTTAGCAAGGACTGCTTATTTTAGCAGACAACTGCCTGAGACTAGAGACATGGCTCAGTTAGGGATCGCCCAGGCAAACGGAAACAGCCCAACCATCCATTACCGTCTTGCCACCTTAGGGAGCTTTGAGTCAATCTTTATGCTTTGGAAAAGAAAATATTCTGCTCCACCTCAAGGAAGAAATGGGTATAGATGTCTTGTGTTCTCTTCTCCTTTCTTCTATGAGAATCTGTCTCCCATTTGCGGTTTCATAAGCAATGTGAGAGGATAAATGGCGACTTGCATGCTTGTGGTTTCAAATTCTTTTAGGAGCTCTTGCAAGTGGAACGGACAATGCTCACTGTCATGTGGCTTTTTAACTTTCTCAGCCACAGTTTGACCCACTGCTTGAATACTGTTGCCCTGTTTTAATAATTTGTACTGTTGAGGCTTCGGACACTGGAGCAGAGTCAAAGCCACATTGTATAGGCACTGTTGAAACATAAAATACATTTGAGTCCTATGACCAAAGAATGGACTTCAGCTGTTAATGTGCTGAACAATCTTTGAGTGTTTGATGTTTAACATATGTGTATTTTAAGTGGAATAACGTTGCTGAGATAAATGAGCATGGCCCGGGGTAAGCCCCTGGCAATCACACTTTGGAAGCCAGAGGGCAATAAACCTGCTTAGTTTTACACTAATGTAAACTGCTAGTTTGGATATTCATTTCCAGAGACTGTCTACTGAAATCACCATAAAGTGAAACATTTGTTTCTTCATCACAATGGAGAAAAAGGTAGACAGCTTTTCAATTTCAGATACTGGGATTCAATGATCAGAAACTTTTAAGTGCCATTTCAAAAGGGATTTCCTGACTTGGATTCTTTATTTATTTATTTATTTTTAATCCAATAGAAAAATAACAGAACAATTTGGGGACTTTTATGGCCATTTTTGCACGATAAGAAAATGATTGCATTTTAATTCCTTACTTTGTTGCCATACTTTTTTATGTCTTCACAGTTTGAACTTGCAAGTGCTGTAAAGCTGGCAGTGTTGTGGAAGGGTGAGTAGGAATCCATTCCTTCTAATTTACCTGCAAAATTGCTTAGTCAGAATAAATTAGACTCGTGTATATGCTCTGCATGGCAATGTGCAGGTGCCACTGAATGGCTTAAGTTGTTATGGGTAATGATGCATTGGCAAAAAGCAACTCTGCTTTATTTGCTATGCTTATATACCATGTTATGCTTCATTTGCATGAGTAGCATTTAATACAAATACTATCTTTTCACTTTTATATAGGCCACATAGAATGTAAAGATTGTTAAAGATGATAAACAGGGAGTTTTCCAATATATTTTTATACATTCTCTGGAGTAAATTTCTGCATTAAAATAGAATCTGCTAATGTTACTGATGCACCCTTAGGAAGAAAGGCAAATCTCTCATATAAATGGAGGAAAGTGAATCATAGAAACTCTGCTAAACTAAATGGATCTAGTTAGTAAGGAGGGAATAGTCTGCAATGGTACTAGGTCCCTTATCAAATAAAGCAATAAAGACAGTAAGTTGATGTGGGGTTGTCCTGATCCATTCCAGCTGAACATCTAGCCAATCTTTCAGTCTCTGCAGTGCTGCACCATTCACATGGGAGCTGCCAACTCATTTTATGGAGACTATTACTCATACTTCTCAAGGCAAAAGGTCGTTTGAATTGCTGTCATGTGTTGGTGGCAATGTTAAATGATGAGATAAAAAATGAGCATTTAATCACAATAACTTTCCTCTCTGCAAACTGTGAACAAGTTATTAGTCTATTGCAGAAGTTCTGTCAACCAGCTGTGTCACGTATACTGAACTTCTGCCTCCGTTTTAGAGTGAGCCTTGCCCTGCACTTAAGAATTGTCAAAGGGAAGTCTTAATTCTGTTAGCTGAATCTGGTAATACTCTTGACAGTATTGCTTCCGGTGGAAGCATGAGATTCTTAGTAAATGCAGTACTTAGTAGTTCCATGTCTTCACCTAGTTCTCAAGCTAATCTGCCAACTGCTGTCATGTAATAGTAATCCAGGATAAGAGGTTTCATAGGACCTCTTCCTTAATGGAGACATATTTTATTGTCACACATTTTTATTGGCTAGAAAAATCAGGATTAATGTGCAGTCCCCCTGAAAAACCTCAGATAATTTACAGTTTATGTGGCCTTTGTTACTAAATGACAAAAAATGAGTTTATTTTTAAAATTTAGGGGCTAGCACTTTGTGGTCTTTCATTGCTATCCCAAGTAAATAATTTCAATTAAAAATGCTTACCTGTAAAGTCCCAGCTGCGTGTTGTGATGCTCAGAGCCCTCTCACTATTTTGTAGCATGTTGGTTGTTCTTGGAGAGATGTTACATCCTAGCTCTTTAAAAGTGGGGGGCTAATCCACTATCTTTGCTGGATTTGGATAGTATATTTGACCCTTCTCTTCAGCAAATTTAGGAAACTGAAGGATGAGAAAAAATAAGGAAGGTATAAACCAAGTATGCATCCTGGATTGAAAAGACTATTTTAAAGGTTTGAAATAGCATTTCACAACCTCCTCCCTCCAATTATCCATTTAGTAAATGCTAATAAAAGGAAAAATGCAGTGGAAAAATATATTCAGTACAGTATTACTACTGAAGTGGAAGATTCAATAGGTACATAGTTCAGCTGAACTCAATTCAGATAAGTTGGAAGCAAATTCTCCATGGTAGCCACACCTAGGCAGAACATTGCATGCTATATAAGCTTTCTTCTGTAGTCACAATTAGAGACTGCCTTAAAATGGACTGCTGCATATTAATAGAGTGCTGAGGTGACTGAAAACTGGCTAAAGCTTTTCACTTTTTGTATGCATGATGCCTAATTCATGGCCTGCAAGTGTCTGGGACAATACAGGAGCTCTCTGTGTAAGAATGTCTCCCATGAGAGATACGCATAGAAGTTTTTTTTTTGTTGTTTTGTTAATTATTTTTTTTTTAAGAAAAAGTCATTTTGCTCTTTTCTGTGTGAACTATGTACTTGGAAGCACATGTACTGTCTCTGCCAGTGTGCAGCTGCCTTCTGGGAGTTGGAAAGAATACTAACAGCTTCATGCCTGAGTGGATTACCTACAGGGGAAATATTTAACATGTTCTGGTGGAACACCATTGATCAGAATGATGGATCCACAGTTTAAGCTATAGGTGTATGCTCACTATAAAGACAGCTGTGCTGGTGGAAGAGGTTCTTTCTGTGAGCTGCTGCTAATGTCTCTTCTACCTTGGGAGGCTGACCTCATGGATCCACATACAGACACTCTTTTGGTAAAAAAATAAGCATGTTCAGATCAGATCACCCATTTAATCAGGATAAGTTAACCAACCCAGCTAGCTGTCTTTTTGGAAGCACTCAATGTGATTATCTGTACCACCAGACAGGCAAGGTTAGTTTTCTCAGGCAGAGAGGTGGTGCCAAGCAACTGAGGGCTGGATCTTATGCCAGAAAAGCTGACCCTGCAGAAGACCATCTGCCCATAGGCATTTGCAGGAGCTCTGCACTGATTCATGTATTGACAAGGAAGATCCTCATTATGTTTTCTGTGACAAGCAGTAAAGCTTTATGAATTGTAAAGTTGGCTCTGTAGTCATAATGTCACCATCAGAGGAATGAAACTGCAGTGCATACTTGGAAGAGCTCTATTTCCAACCCTGGTTCTATCAGTGCTTTTTCTCTCCAGTCTTCCTGCCTCAGTTTCCCTACCCTACCTCACAATAATGGTGTCAGCATTAACTACGTAATAGTTTTGTAAAGGTGAGATACAGAAATAAATACAACCTTCCAGTAGTAAAAGTCACCTGAGTGTGGGTTATCTGTACTTAACCAGGGGTTATCTCTACTGAACCAGAGATTTCTCTTTCAATCATTGAGAACTGAAGTGTTCTGATCTCAGAGGAAGTCAAATGGTATGGAGGGAACAGCAAATAAACTTAAAGTATTTTCTAAGTACCAGTGGTAACTGCCCCATTAGTTAATAATTCTGAACCTGCTGAGCTTTGCTGGAAATAGGTCTTAGCCTCCAATCATCCTCCTGTTGAGCAAAAATAGGCTTTGTAAGCCCATCTTCATAGATGATTAGTGTTTCTTTAAATTGACTAATGATCAATAAAAACTGACTAAAAATTACTACTCCTAGCATTACATATCCTGTGGAAAGATTTTGGGTCTGGAAGGATGAATACTCCATTAAAATGCTCATGTGCCCAATTTATACATAACTGCACAGCGCTGTGTTGATGACTGGGAATGGCAGCTAATTAATGCAAGTTGACTTTCTACTTAACATTATCAGCTTTTGCTCTGCTGAAAAGCTTCTTATCCATGCCAGTGCACACTTTTTCTGTTTCACACAGTTACTGCCAAACCTGTCATGGCAAGCACTGCCATGGAATGCAGAGGTGCTGGCTTTCTTCTGTACAAGATTCCCCATAACACTGTGTGGTCAGCAGCTGCCAAGGGCTGCTCTTAAATTCATGCAGGTCATATTTAAAGTCTTCTAAAGTGCAGTCCCTGCCAAAATCCCAGTGTAGTAGAATGCCTCCAGGGAAAAGCAGAATAAGAACAAAAATTCCATGCCCTTTTCCTTTAATATATTATGTAAAACCGTCTCAGGGTAAAATGCTGCTGTGGTTAAAACCAAACACATCATGATGCCTACCATGTTTTGTAAATAATGAATGTTTAGGTCTTTATCTCAGTCTTTGTAAAGGATAAGAAGAGTTACTTTTTCTTCCTGGACCTTGTTCTACCATCTGTGTAGTGACAAAGTATTTTAATTCAGCTCTCATTTCAGGGTTACTTCTGGTGTCCTTTGCAAAGCTATGACAGGCATGACTTTGACCCCAAAATTGCTAGTTTTTGATCCCACTGATGCATTTTTTTCCCCTTTCTCTTCCACTCTGTTGTACTGTGAAGAATTATTTGTCTGACGGAAGATACCATGTACACTAAACAACTCATCTTGCTTTTGTGGGAATTAGCAGCTATGTTAATAGCTCTTTTGGCTTCTGAGGCTACAAGTTGTTCACTGAAGTCAGGTTTATTTGTCATTCTCAGGGCTGAGGTATCTTCCATGGAGACAGCAACTATCAGAACACAGAGCCAAGATGCTTATGACAACTGATATATTCAGATTTTGGTTCTGTTAAGCTTCAGTAGGAGGGAGTCATAACTTCAGTAGAGTTTCAAAGTAAGTTTCAAGAAGAAATGGTAAACCAACAGAGTTCAGTCTTACCTATGGTCTTCCTTGGAACAATCACATCAAAAGCTTTGGTAGGGGTATTGGGATGGAAAGGCTGTGACTGCTTGCATCAATCCCAGTGTCTTGATCCTCAGGTGATCTGAAGTTTGGGATCATGGTGTACCTAGAGATATGTGTCTGGTAGGGATGGGGGGTGGGAAATGGTAGGCACAGTGGTCTTGGGATGGTTTGTGATGACAGGAAGAGGAATAGAAAGAACATTTCCTTATTTCACATTTTGCAGGGTTTTAGGATTTAATATAACACTTTGCAAGAACTGGTGGTGAGAACTAGAGGTGTGAGAACTAGAAAGATGATAGTTCTGTAATCCCCTCTTGCTTGCACCTTGCAAAGAATTCACAATGATTATTGTCTTGCAGCTTCTGTACATAATCAGTCATACCAATTAATGTTTGCTTTCATGTGGCTTAATGGAATGAAAATGTGGACTCCTGACTCTTGCACAGCTCCAACTAATAATAACTGAGTTTGTGCTTGTGAAATAAAAATTTGCCTTTAAGAATGCATTTATTTCTGGGAGGAAGGAGGATAAAGGTAAACTGAAGAGTTTTATGGAATACTGCAAACCAAGATTTCATGGAGTACCTGAGTTCCTGTGGCTGTTATTTTCATCTTTCAGTTTTCCATGGTAGAATAATTTTAGAAGTTACTAAAATCGGGGCAATCCTGAAATCTTCAGAGGGAAATGAAAGCAGTGGTTTATTCCAGTAAGAGAGACTAGCACCCTGTTTGTACTCTTCTGAATTCTACCACAACTTCCTATAGCAGCTTTCTGGAAACAAATGCCTTTCCTCAGTTGCTATATAAAGCAAAGTCACAACCTTATGCAGGAGCCAAATTCATTCCATTCCTGAGGCTGTCCATCATGATGTAACAAGATGTCTTACCAAGCTGGGCTTTTCTGAGTCTTCTCCCTCATAAATCTGCTTTATACATACTTTAGATCCATTAGCTGTGATTGGTAGATGCTCCCAAACTCTTTAATTCACATTAGGTAAAGAGGCCATGAACAAAACAGCCAAGAAAACCCAATTAGCCCAAAGGTAAGTCAGCAAGATCAGCATTTGTTAGGAGAGAGGGTGTGCAAGGCAAACACTGCTAATCTGCTAAACCTATCATTACATGCCTCCTTTGAGAGTTTTTTGCCTGGTAGCATTACTGCTGCTTATTGCCAAGGAACATGTACTGGAGAGTTACGGCTGTAAGGGGAACAACTTGCCTTTTTATTTCATTAAGGAAAGATAAGATATAAAATAGAGATGTAATGTACTTAGTGGTTTATGAAGCCTATATTAGGGAAGAAAAATAATAAATAAGTTATCTGAAGTGTAACACATCCATTTGCACGTCCCACATTTTACCTGAATCAGTGCAATCAATATACCTTAGGGACATATCCATGTGTAAGCAGTGCAGACAATAGTCTTACTGATGCCACTCATTAAATGAGGAATGTTTTGTGTTACCAGGTGCCAAGGACTGAAAAGGCACCAGGAACAAGTGATGTGCAGAATGCCTTTTTAAGAGGACTGAAGGAAAAATCTGTCCTCTGACACTTTTGTGTAATAAGCTCTATGTTAATTAACAGCGGTATGTGCTACTAGTAAAAAAATTATTTCATCAGTAATGCAAAACAGAAAACATATTCTGTTTCTACTTGTAGAGAAAGTATTCATTCATTCATGCTGATAAATTATTTATAATTTACCATGGATGCTTACTTTATGCTTCAAACAGTTTTTTAAAAGCAATCAAAAGAAAACACTTACTTTACAGGGCAAGAATTTAATCACTGAGGCTAGAACTAAGAGTCTTTTGGAAATTGTACCAAGTCAGAAAAATGTCTAAGATTAAAAAATGAATTGATTTGTTTAATGGTTCCTTGTGGTATAATGAAAAAAACCCCAACAAACTAATTAAATGACTGAAAGAAAGTATACCTGGCTAATCTAAATGGTTTACCTGAAGCTCCAAAATCTCATGTATTTCATGAGGAAGGCTTAATTATCAGGTCTTGCTTGAAAGGATCTCTACTGTATATGGGTAGGAGAGGTTGTCTGGTAATAGTCTCTTTTTTTTAAAGCTTGATTATTGGTACAGTGATCACAAAGTTTCTTGATTCTACAAGCCATATATCAAATTCTTCACACCAAACCCCTAATTTTTCTTAGTCTGGAGGTTCCAGATTCATTCCTAAACAGCAGATGGTGATTACTTCTCAGGGCTCCTCCTCTTGCTCTGTTTGAGGACAGAGCGGTGTGGGGTGTTAATGAGCTCCACGTGGTCTCCATCATTTCAGCCTTAGCAGTTCCTCTGGGAACTATTTTCCTCCCACAGCTGGGGATTACTCAGTAGCCTGGTTAATGACATGGCAGTGGCATTGGAGCTGCACCCAAGCTCTGTTCAAGTCACCTGAGACTCAAGAGCTGAAGCTTGGCCATTCTGTCGTTGAATTAGTGTCAGTAAAAATAGGTGTAACATAGTTATAAAGAGGAAATATGCCACCTTGCTCAAAGAATTTCAATACAGTCCTGTGCTTATTTTGTTATACACTGGTGTGGGTGTTTTGAAGATAAACTTCAAGTGCCAGATCAATTTGTTCACACATTCTGATACAACATTCATTAAGTCATGTATTTCATTGTGAAATCTGTGCTGTGATGCCATGAGATGCGTTGCAATCAATATGAGGTGTGATATCTCACAAATTACCATGACAGTGTAATTCATGTCTCAGCTGAGCTGAACAAAAGCTACTTTTAATGTGTGATGCTAGAAAGATAATAGGACTAAATCAAAGTGTTGGATTCTGACAATCAGTGTATTTACAGAAATAGCCATACTTAGGGAACAGCAACCTTTAAAAGACATGAAGAAAGAATCTTCTTAGTGTTTATTTTCAATTGATATCATGTTACAATATTACATCTGTATCAATGTTGTGTTACACTGTGCATCGTTGCATTCTTCATTACATTTATTGGACGTATTCCTGACGTTGGACACATTCCAAACATGCAAAAATAAGGACAATCAGTCTGTTTTGTGTTTTGCATGGCAGAACTACTTTGTAGTACAGAAGTGCCTTTGTACAGGACTTTTCACTATAACCTCTGCACTTCAGGCAGCAATAAAATAAGGATGAACATACATTTTCATTACCATGATTTAGAGCAGCTTTGTTAGCTCAGGTTGTAATAGCAAGCAAAGCTTTGCATTTTCAAAGTTGAATAGTTTTTTAGAGTGTTTCTTGTATTTTTAAAACTCGAACTAGTTGATTGATCCCAAATCTACCTAGAATTGATGGCAGTATAGAAAGTAGAAAGGTAGAGCTCTGTCTGGAAAGGAAGAAAGGAATAGCAGCTTTTCCAAAAGTGCTTTCACTGGAATTCTAGTAGACTTTTGCAGGAGTCTGCCAGTATTACACAATAAACAGTTGCTAATTTTTATGTTATCTGCTCCTCTATATTCAGTGCGCAGAGGAGTGAGAGTATCTTTGTGGAAACACGAGCTTGGCCTGCAGTATTTCTGCAGCTCCCTCCTGACATAGTCCCAAGCACTGGGTGCAGAGACACACTTGGTTGGTAATGGTAATAAAACACACATTGGAACCCGTGTGACCTTCATGAGCAGCTTCCACTTCCCACTATTTTTCTAATCTCTAACATGAGGTAGGAGCCTCTGAAGAGCTGTTTCTCCTCTCAGGTGGGGTGTTGGCCTGAGAGTGATGCAGTGTAGGGAGCCTGATGACCTTCAGCTTCTTGTCTTCATCAGGCCAGAATTTTTGCTGCTCTTTCCTATTACTTTCTCACTCAGCAAATTATTAAGAAAATAAGATAAATCACTCTCGCCAATTTTAACAGGAAGGAAATTATGACTGGAGAATAAAATGTTTCACATGTGAAGTTGGCTTTCTCTGCAGCCCTTTATTCTTTCAAAGGGAGGCAATCACTTACCTTGCCTGTCCTTAAAACCTGCTTGGCCAGGGAGCTGCAGGTCAGGGAACCACCAAGGGTCAGGAAGCTGGGGGATAGCCAGAGGAATGGAAGTGCTGTGTGGCGTGATAAACAGTGAAAACAGATTAAGACTCATATGGAAAAAAGTTTGGTTTCTTTCATTTTGTGCTGTCAATGAACCCACAAATAACCTCATTGGTGAGAGTTGTCTTTGGAAGGACAGCTGCAAATGCCATTGCCTGATGTAGAGCTTATGAACTAGGGTTCTTAGCAATGGCTGAAGGGTGTTTTTCAAGGCCAGGCTTGTGCAGTCTTTTTTGATGTGGGCTTGAGGACTCACTATACTTTCAGGTGGAGGCAACTACTTTTCTCCTGTACATTTGACTGGGAGGTCATCTGTGTGGGCCACTGCTAATGCATTTGGAAAAGCACATCTGAACAAACCCAGCACAAGGGTATATTGTGTGCACGCTTAAGGCAAAGGCATAGTTGTCCCATGAAAGTATACAGAGTTATTAAGAAGACCTGGTAGTTAATTTTCCACAAAAGACAATAATGGCTCAAAGGAGCCCTCACAGGCTATAAGGTAAATAAACTGAGCATTAATAGCTCCCAGGTAGGCCTGCAGAGCACCACTTGCATGTTATTTTTCAGGAAAGGTTCCATGTGGTTGGCACCCTGGCAGCAGGAAGGGTATTTGCTCTTTGTCTTGGACTTTGAATGTGGAAGAATTTATTTTTTTTTGAGCAGGTTTCACTTTTTGTTTTAAAGGATATATTGTTTCCTTCCATTTAAAACTCTTTCAAAGACTGAGAAAATACAACCTTACTGGAAAATAAAACACTTCAGCTAGTACAAAGGATAGACCATATATATATTTTTAGAGACCCAGCGTGTTTCAGGTTAAGATGTGAGTGCAAAATAATGGAAAAAGTATAACAATCTGCTATTTATCGAGTACTGAGGGATACCAATAGAAATGTCACAGAACAGGACACTTGACTAGCAGGTCACAGTGGAACAAATTGCTCCCCAACATCATTCCACTGCAGTCAAGGGAGTTTCCTTGGGGATGTATTAGGTAATGAAACAGAACCACCCAGCTTGACTGTGCAACATGAGAGTGCCCACTTTGCATGGATGTTGGTTTTAAAACAACTTTTAAAGTGCTCCGATATCTTAAAAAAAGTGCATGGTTCAGTTCTAATCACTGAGTACTTAGGCAACTTATAGGAAGAATCTTGCTACTTCCTTGTAGCTTGTAATCAAATTCTGCAGGAGCAGCACAGCCAATGCCTCTAATGTGCCATTTGGTCAAAGGCCATAAGCTGTCCCAGTATTAAGGAGTTTTGGCTTGTACATTCTTACAGGCAACCTCCCTCAGTTCTGTTTGTCCTGTAAGGAGGCAATAGAGATGCCTGCAAAAAACAGTGGATTACGAAGAGCAGGGTTGCTACTTTCCCTTTGTAGCTTCTGTGGCCTATTTGCAGTTACCTCTCCTGCTCGTCTAGTGTCTGAGTTTACACAAAATGGAGGAAGTACTTGGCATACAGGGGGTCTGACAGGAGAGTGGTGGGGTCAAACAAGGAGCCTCACAACCCTATAAAGATAGCTGAGAAATCGTAGCAGAATTATTCTCAGGTTTCTAATATTCTCTAGTTATCAATGCTAGTATAAGAGGTGTAACTTGTTAATTTTCTGCTTTTGAAGAATTTACATTTACCCTTCAAATTACCTTCTCTAAAATCTCGGTAGCTTGATCAAATTTAAGCGTTTTGCTGGTGCCATCAAGTGGTAAAGTGTTGGATTGCAGAACTCCAACAGCATCCAGGTTCAGTCAATCTGCTATCTCTTGAACAGCAGCAGTGAGGAAAATAATGCTTGCCAAGCCTCCTCCAAACACACACACACACACACACACACACACAAAATGGACTGAAAAGCACATAATGTCACGGTTACTTTAGTTACTGCAATTTAATCTGGATTCTTAACAAGTAGAAAGGCTAATAATTTTTGAGTATTTCAAGTTGATATATATGGGCAACCTGTAAAGCAAACTCAGAGACCCTTGTTGAAGAGACACTAAACTGAAGGGGCACAATGATGTATTATGAACTTTCTTCCCAGATGTGTTTACTCTCCTTTGTCACTAGCAAAACCCTCTTTGCAGAACATGGTCCTTCAGATTTCACATAATATCTGTGCTTCATATCATATGTGCGTAATATGACCGGAGTGGAATGAATATTCAGTTTTCAGCTATATTCACTAAATTCACAGTCTAGTTAATGTACCATTTAAGCTTACAGTTCCTCGTTTGTATGCACATCACTTTTTGTCAGCTGGGTGACATCATAATATTGCTCAGTGGGAAGGTCTCTGTGCAAAGAGAAAGCATAAATGTATGAAGCTTATGCTCTTATTTCCTGACAAAAGTCCAAATCAATTGCTATGGATTTGTCTTGATTTCTCAGATATCAGCCCTTAATATAAAGACTCATAGATGTTGCCAGTGCGCAAATCTATGCTGGGTTTCAAAATCGAAGTCCTGCGGGGCTGGATTTTGAGGGGTGCTGAGCACCCATGCCTGAATCCAAAGTTCCTGAGAACACTGAGCATTTCTGCTGGTGAAAGCCTGGCCCTTCCAGCCCCTCACCATGCATGCCTCACACTCAGTAGGAGCTGTGGGAATACCTTGAATGAATGGAAGTTCACAGTTTTGGATCTAAAGGGAGTTAAGTTATTCCTACATTATGGGGATCATTTTCTACTCCTTCTGATGCTGAAGGGTTCCTAGCACCCAGCCAAATTGTATGGTCCTTTTTACTGAAATAAATATTTTTATTTTTATTTTTTTATTTATTTATTTTTTAAAATAAATATTTTACTGAAATAAATAAAGATAGCACGTTTGGAAGATATCTGGTTTGAGTTTAAACAATGGAAAACAAAGCAGTTGTTAGTATGGGACATCAGGTGAAAAACCAAAGCAAAGCAAACCAAAAAAACACAACAGAAGAGACAGCAAATGGGAGTGCCAAAATGAAGGAAATGCAGTTGGAAAAATCAGCCAAAATCAGTAAGATTTTCCTCGTATTAGAAATAGCCTTATTGTTCTCACCTGGCCTTGCTAATGCTGAACTTCACCCAAAGCACCTAATTAAGTGTCTGTTGCTGAAAGGAATGGGCGGCCTTAATTGCATGGCTGAAGAAGGGAAGTTGAGCACTGACTTTTGTGTTTATGGCTATGGGATATGTGGATGCTGTACATTAGGCCAGTAGTGATATTTTTAAGGTCAGGAAGGTGTTTGGGACAACAGCTTACAGTAAATAATTATCAAATTATGAGCAAAAAAATAAATATGGAAATTTAGAACTTCAAGTGTTTCAGCAAAGTACCATGTAGAGATTTGTGGGTACCAGTATATTCCTTCATTAATATTTAAGGCATTGGTAAAAGAGTAGAAGCTAAAATTGCCCATTTTTTGAGTGCAGATATTTGAAAATCTCAGTCTACACTGCTCTCTAACCTGTTAGCTGCCTGTTGCTGTTGTTAAAAAAACTTCATGTAAACAATTTTGTCTGTGAGAAGTATATGCCTAACCTACCTTGACCAAGGGTCTGCACCACTACAATAAAGCTGATGTCCTTTAACAGTTGTGCATGGGGACTTGTATGTTGCCCTGTTGTCTTCTGGAAGTACAGGTAGTGCAATTACCCCATATTTTCTGCTCCAGAGTGAAGCTTGCAGTATGAAGGAATTCCCTTAACTCCTTATATCTGAAATAAAAAATACCCAAAAATATCCTTTAATGGCAGCAACAGTGATAGTCACCTGAAATCTTTTAAACAATTACAATCTGGCTTTATTTCCTTGGCTCAGAGTTACTCAGCCATATTCCTTTAAGGACTCTCCACATTATACTATTATGGTGAACTGTCACTAGGAGGAATAAGTACAATGGTGACTGGCAATTGTTTAGTGAAGTCTGATTATGTTTTGATCAGTGAGAGGAAGAAAGAAGGTGATAGATACATGCAGCATATGTGTCTTACAGCTTAATTCAGTCTCAGCTGCCAGCATGTGGATACCTGCACCATCCCTTCAGTAGTACAGAAGTGGCAGATGGACAGCAAATATATGCTGGAAGCTTTAGCATCTAATTCCCACTGATTTCAGAATTTTTTATTTGTACCTTTGAAAACTTCCCCTCTCTGTCTCTAGAGAAAGGTAAGAAATGTTACTGTTCAGTAGCTGTAATTCACACCGAATGAGAGCCATGTCAGGCACTTCACATGGGTGTGCTACTGGCTGAGGATATGCAGTACATTTCCATGCATCTGTGTCATTTGAAATTAAGCAATTTGACATGTTTAGATCTGTTCACCTCATATAATTTTGGTTTACAGTGTTGTAAAGATGGACACCAAACTCACAAAAAATGTAAAGCTTCCTTTTCTTTTAAGTGGCAGCAGTTTTCCAGTCAGGAGAACACATGCACAATCAACCATCTTCTTATTAAGGAGATAAGGAGCATGGAGTTGGACTTGATGATCCTTATGGGTCTCTTCCAACTTGGGATAGTCTATAATTCTATGATTCTTCTAAAAGCCAAAGTGAGCGATTTAAATTTGATTTAGTTGTCCAGGATTTTCTGAAAACTGGATCAAGAAAGTAATGAACTGTTGTGGTATGTGATGGCAATGGTCACCCCTGGGATGTTGGATGGGTGTGCTTTAGTCCTCTTTTCACTTTAATGAAGTTGTATTTAATTCATATGAAATCAGAGAAAGTGATGTTTTGGTGACTGGGTTAGGAACCAGGAGCCATGTCTGTGTTTGTTTCCATCACTGAGTGACCCAAATTCTTGCTTTAGATAGACCTCATCTGTACTACCATCTTTTTCTGTTGAGTGTTTCTCTACTGATGACTGAAGCAACTGGACATGGCTGCAGACCAGTAGGAGGGCCTTTGTTGACTGGGGTGTAGTCACTGTGCTGTGGTGAATCATACAGGTACTCCAACCTGCTCACAATTACCTTCGGTTTCCCTGCCCTGTCCTTCAAAGTATAGTGTTGCTCTAGGTTTCTGGATGTGTGACTTCTGATGGAGTGAGGTGTATCAGCTAAAGAAATCCTTTGCTATTGTTGATCATTACTTGGGAGGTGGTGGGAGAGAGTGTTTTTTAATTAAGCTATACTTGGAAAAAGTGCCACTCTGCAGGTACTACCTGGATTCAGGCTTATGGTATTTTTCAGGTGTAAGGTTCCCCAAACTCTGACTTCATCTTACATTGTTTCAAAGGTTGAGTAACAGCTCTGAGACTACATCTCCTAAAATGTGAGGGCTTACAGGCTTGTTATTATGTGGCTATGAGCATTTCAATGAGCATTACAATCCTGACCTTTGTTATGAGCATAGGCTTTTAAGGAAGAAAAAATAATGGCTACTAAACTTTTTCTCAGAGTACATCTAGATGCAAACTGTGTCAGAGTCCTAAATAGATGTTAGTGGAATCTATGGGAGAGATAATGACCTACAGGGTACAGGATACAGACAGTGCTTCTGTGTTTTGTTCTCTCTGGTTTCTAGGCGTCTGGTTTCCTCTTCCTGTCATGTAGTTCTACATAGTTCAGCACCTGATTGCTGTGGTTCTGCTGTTGCCTGAAAAATTCCTTTATTCATTTTGCCAGGGTGCAAAGGGAAATATGCTTGTAGGATGAACCAAAACAAGAATCTGAGATGCTGTAGATTATCAGGAAGCTTTTCTGGTTTTAGGTTTCTGAAGGAGCTCAAGTGTCCATTTCTTATATTCCACCTAAAGCCTTGTTTCCCGTTTCTGCAAGTAGGCAGTCAGATGCCCAGGCACCTGCAGGGCTGTGTGCTGTTTGTATTAATTAAGCTGACTCTCACTGCAAACATTAATAAATCATTCCTATTGACTGCCACCTGTAGGTTACTAAGTTGCCAAACAACCACTTCGCCTTAGACAGGAAAGAGGAGCATTGCACACAAAATCTGCTCATCTGTTCAGTCCAAACAGGACTTTGTTATGCTTAAAATGTTTCAAAATCTCTTTCTCACAATGAAACATTTATAACTGATATTGATCCAGTGATATTGAAGATCTCAAGGGCACAGAAAACAATGTCTCTGCCACAGAATATTGTTCAGTAGAAGTTCACAGTTACAAAGGGAAGCACTGAATTAACTCTGTTCTCTGCAAGCTGTGAAAGGGCTTCTTTTGACTAAAAACAAATAGCTTATCACATGCAGAAGACTGAGATGCCTTTGTTTTACATCCTTACGTTTTCAGTTGTACCTTTAAGCCACTTCTGCATTGCTCTGCATTTAATGGCCTGCTAGCTTTTGGATATGGATCTTACAATAGCAAGAGAAGTCTGAGAAGAGTCTCAAGGAGAAAGGACTAAAAATCTATTCATCTCACTGGTACATGTTTGTAATCCTCACTTTGGCAAAGCATTGACAAAAAGATTACTTTGATCACGCTCTCTTCTTCTCAGGAAGATGTCAGTGAAATGCAAAAGATTTTGCTTTGCCTTATTAAAATAGGGAACTAATTTGAAAATATCTGAAATATGTTATTGTAGGTCATATGTACATTTGGGCCATATGTATTGTAAGAAAATTAGCAGATGTAGCATGATAATGCAAAAAAATTCAAATTAATTCTGTCCTGCTGGTAGTTTCTAGAGTGTTGGGTGGTTTGCTATGGGCACCATGGGAATCTTATACTGATGACTTGGATTCAAGTACTACTGGCTTGCAAAGACAGAACTGTTGAGAATTGTTGATTCACAGTCTGCAAGTGGGCAAGAAACAGAAGCCAGATTTTCCTTCCAGCAGGACTGCTGTGGTTCTGTAATTTAATGCAGCCCTGAGTCCATCCTATCCAGACCCTAATGGAATTTCCTCTCTATTCAGCTTTATTAACCTTTCTTGGAAATGTATTTCTGGCTTCCAGAATTGCAGCTGGGGCTTAGCAAGTAGCATTTTGCCCCTGCCTGTTGCACATATAGAGAGATGCCACAGTTCATAACTTCTTTTTTCAGCTCCACTCCAACAGCTGCCCACTGAGGCACGGATCTATGCCACCAATTTTAATTTATCAGCCTCCTGGCATTTCAGCCATCATCTGTATCACCATATCATGATCTGACTGCATGCAGCTCCAAATGTACAATATACAGCCAGACTTATACCCATCTGCAGTCTTACCCATCATATCAACAACAGCCCCACTGATAGGCAAGTAGTTCCTCACCAAAAGGGTTCTGAACATATACATCCCATGTCCCTGTAGCTGCACTAGTCCAAAGCCACAAACCCAAAAACCAGCCTTCAGTTCCAGAAATATTGTTAATTGCATGGCATTCCCAGGTGGCTGGCTTCATAGAAATCGTAGCAGACCAGATTGGAAGTGACCTCAAGAATCATCTGGTCCAACCTTTCTTGTAAAAAATACAGTCTAGACAACATGGCTCAGCACCCTCTCCAACTGAATCTTAAAAGTGTTCAGAGATGCGAAATTCACCACTTTCCTGGGGACATTATTCCAATGGCTGATTTTTCTTATTGTGAAAAAGTTCCCAGCCCTTGACAGCTACCTTTTGCAGCAGGATCTAAACAAGGTCAAGGCTTTCCTATGAACAATGCTGTCTGGACACAGTCCAATGCATGCAGAAGAACACCTGCTGTCTTAACCAGGTCTGTTTGCTGGACGACTGGCCCAGTTGCTCAGCAGAGGAAGGCAGAGAGAGAGGTTAGAGCTCAGTGAGGACACTTAGGCTAGAGGGCTGGCAAGAGACAGGGGAAGATAACAGGAGGAGAAAGGTAATGAAGTCGGGTCGAGCCAGGTCCTGGCAGGACCAAAGTCCCAAGTCCTTATTGATTCAGCAGAAATTGCCTGCAAAGGAAATCACTAGTTTCCAGGAGGATGTCACTCCAAAGCAGGAAACATGATAATTCACATTTCAGCCCTGGAACTTTAATAAATCCATGGCTAAGAGAATGAATTATCTTAGTATAAGCCTTTGGATGAGAAAATCTTGCAGTGGCAGAAAGAAGAAAGTTATAGGAAAATGATACCTAAGTAAAATGAATTTCTAAATGTAACAACCTTTCAAATGTTGTGTTTACCTAACCCTAAAGAGATATTATTCCAAAACAGAAGACAAAATCTGGGGAGTAGCCCCTTTCATTCCAAACTTTATTATCTGTCTTCACTAGAGAAGGTTAATAGGAACTTGCGTACGACAGAACTATGGACTAACTTCTCATTCAGTGCAGTGCACTTTAAGTTATGTTTTGGTCTGTGATTTGGCAATATTTGACATCACAGTGAGAGGGTGTTTGGGATCTTTTGGAGTGATACACACAGTAAGGCAGGTAGTGCTGTTGTCAGATGTTTACTTAGTGCGTGAGGGGGAAGATGGTAGGACACACTTGAGAGCTGGGATCCAAGACACAAGTAGGTGATGTGCTGTTTTACCTCCTGAATAAAGCAGTGAACATAGCCACAAGCCAAGTCAAACCCCACTTCCTTACAGAAAAATTGTTTGGGAAGAATTGAGTGAAGTCATGTGCATGTCAGTTGAGTTCTTGAGAAACTGGCTGAGCCAAGAACATTTCGAATAAGGCAGGCAGCACAGCAGCAGGACTTCTGTGAATTGCCACTTTATTCCCATTCTTGGAAATATTAATATCCTTCCCTGGATCTTGTGTGAGATTGTCACACTGTCCTTCAAAACAGTTGGACCTAGCCACTGGTGGAGTTTGGATTCTGATCAGTTGGCTTGCTGGATGTTTCTCTTTCCTGTGTTTGACAGACATGGTGATAGATTTTGATCTGCTTTGCTTTCTTCTGCTGACCTTTTCTTTTCTCTAATTGTGGTTTTTGTTGGAGTTGAATTGGCATAAAAATAAATGGCTGTGTTTGAAAAGAGTGTTTTTGTTCTGTAGTTTCTGTCACCACACAGGGCAAAATTAGCAGGAGGTCCTAGTTTTCTTGGAAAAGCAGTGTGAAAAAAGCTGGAAGCAAGTCATTTGGCAAGTGATAATACATAAACAGCTTTTTTGAATACCTATTGAACGCACTGTTGTGTTATTACTATTATCCAGTAGAGCTGGTAATTGGTTTATTATGATTTTGGACCACTGGCTTGTTTTTAACAGTGATGGCTTGGCCATTACATTAAAGTGAACTACATTTTAATGTTTGTGCCATGTACAAGTGATAGAGCTGTATCAGTAATTTCCAG